CCCAAACTATTCTATGATTCTATCCTGTGGCTGTAACGAATCTGTCCTGATGTCATGCTCTGTAAAATTATGATGTTAATTACTGGTCTGTCAATGTTACATATGTCTGTAAGGGCTTTCTTGGTTATGGTTCTGCCTAATGTGAGAAGATTCTCATGGTTTAGGAAGGAAGGGACAAAGGGCTATCTTGTATATTCATTCTGCCTCTACATAACATCTATCTTCCTTTTATCCTGTGTGATAAGTGTTATCTTCTACCTATTGATCCTGCGTGGCACAATTTGGGAGTTACCATTTTCTTCTCCTAGGGTTCGAAAGATCTTGAACTTGCGAGTATTTGAAGATGAAAGTGGGAAGCACTGGTCCAAAAGCGTGATGGATAAACAGTATGAAGTGTTGTGTGTGAGCCAATTTACTCTCCAGTGCATCCTGAAAGGAAACAAGCCAGACTACCACATGGCAATGCCCACAGAGCAGGCGGAGTGTTTTTATAACAACTTCCTAGAGCAGCTAAGAAAAGCCTACAAACCAGAGCTTATTAAAGGTAAGGACAAAAGGTTGGTAAGGTCCTTGACGTGACTTGAAGTGAAACTTGTTTCTGTGTGCTCTTCCCTGATTGTGACTTTCTTTACTCTGTGATTTTCTGTCTGCATGGCAAGGGAGCTGTCTTTATATGGCTTAGATGGAAAATGGGAAATATGGTTTTCATGAGCAGCCTAGCACGGTGATCACTCTCAGTCTTCCTCTAGTCAAGCTGTTTCTTGGTGTTCCTCTGGAATAGTTTGACATACAGTCGCTCTTGTATTGGATATGTAACATGAACAATGGCTGGCAACATAACCCAGAGAGGCTGCAGCCATGAGAACAAGCTCTGGGATTAGGGTCCTTCAAAGGCTGGATGTTTTGTGCTGTGTAGCTAGGTTAACCCAGAAGGACCATGTTTTCTGAGGTTTGTGGTTAGTTAGGCTTGAAGGCATTATCAGTGTGTGATGGACAGCACAGCTCTGTCACTTTAGTTTTGCATTCTGTTAAGTGGTAATGATGACAGTGGGAGGTGTAATGTGCTGCTTGAGAACAGCATTTCTTTTAAACTATGTTTTCTCAACTCTATGCAGCAGTTTTCTCTTTACCAGAAAATGTCTGACTTCCATTGGTCTTTATGCTTTCTTCACCCTTAATCTTTTCTGTTTGCTCTTCTGTTTTGCGTAATGGCCGTTTTCATAGTTAAATTTGATTTTTTGATATGTAGAAGGCAGGTGTCTAGAAAGACTTAAATTATCAGCCTTACTTTCCTTATGAACAAAAAAAGGAGAAAAGGCAGAAAACTGGTAGCTGGGAAAAGATTTAGAGGCTAACCTCTGTATTAACTGTAGATGAAGGTAATTATTCCAGTGCTTTCCAGGGAGGCACAGTGAAGTGCACACATAAAATGTCCATCCTGTGTCAGCTTTTCAGTAGCTTGTTATGTTCTTCCAGTCATTTGTTGATGATAAGGAAAGCATTTCTGATACTCCTTCACTGCACCCTTTTTGGTCTATAACATAGAAAACTTCTAATGAATTTGGAGTATCTTTATCTTTGTTGAGTTATGACTAAGTTAGGACCCATTCCTGTGCCTCTGAAACTGGTAAGAGAACTTCCTGGGAAGTCAATGGGAGTAAGACTTGTTCTGGTTAAGACTATTGAATTGGACCCTTATGTTCATGTAAACTAAAAGCAAACATGGACTTTCTTCTTTCACTTAAATGAGGTGTGAAAAAATTAATATATCTCTGTATATCTACATCTTTGTCCTTGGACTTTGGAAGATTATCTATGTCTGAAATGCTTTCAATCAGTTTATATTTTTGACAGTTTTTTAAAATTCTCTTTTCAGTGAACACCTGAAATGAATAGTTACTGTTAAGTGCCCATATTTTGACACCTGTTTGCCAGTGCTTCCTGTGTTTTTTGTGTTCTTGCTTGAAACATAGATGTAGAAACCCAAGAGTGACTGCCTGTGCTATTGTGGCGGGTAACATGCATCTGAAACTGCTAGCATCACTGGAAACACTTATTTATGATTTTGCTTTATTTTTAGTCTGTGCCAGTATATTAGACTCTTATAATAGAGGTTTATATTGTGTCAATTCCTTTGCCAGTGTTTTTTTT